TTATTTTTTTTTTTTTTTTTTTTGTCAACAATAAAATCCAACAAAGGATATTAATTAATTTGAGGATGAAAACTTTGAGGATGAAAACATGAAAGAAAGAAGCTGAGGTGTCATTAATGACCCACAAAAGGAAAACGCAAAAGATCATAGGAGACATTGACCAGTGAGAGGGTCCTTTGTAACTTTCATAAGAGCCATTGCTTATTGGTTGGATGATGAAGTAAACAATCCAGATGGATACAAGCGTTACATTAATTGTTATATAGACCCACAAGGTCGATTCAATAAATATTTTTAAAAATTATATTATAAATTTAGTATTTCAAGAATCAATTTTATGTCTTCATCCCTAAATTATCAAATTCATATGTAATAAAACTAAGACCAATTTATCACAAAATTAAAAATTTTAAAACTATACGAAACAAACACAAACCAAATGACATTTTTCACATGCATCCTCGAATAATGCTAAGATTAGTCGAGGACAAAAAGTTCATATCTTTACTCAAAAAAATAAAAGGAACAGCAACTTTTTTTCGTATAGGAACTTAGTTCAAGACGGTAGACATGTTGAAGATTGTTGAGAGGGAACCCCACATACGTTAATTAAATAAAAGATGAAAGATCATAAATTTATAAGTAAGGAATACTATCGGGAGACAAGTTTTGGTATTTATATGTATTTGGTTAGATGGTCATTGATTTGACTAAAAACTACAGTAATGCATATGTTTTTTTAACCTAGTTGGTTGCAGGAGGCATTGTAGCAGGAGTTATCCTTTCATGGAGGAACCCATCTTGTTTGTGATTTTCCAAGAATTAGTAGCTGTCTATCCAATGTCTATCCAACAAAGCAACTGAAAAAACGGTAAAGCCAGTTTTCTGAGCTCAACTTTTGTGTGTGTCAAAGATTCTATTTGAAATTCTGCACCATTTCAGATAATAGGGGAAATTTTGCTAACCCAAAGTGCCCACACAGAAACACAAAAGCAGAAATATGAACTCCTAACAAAGAAAATCCATCATATCTTTTCTTTGAAGTATTTTCTAAATGCTCAAATTTTAAAGCGGATTTTGATTTGTATTTTTTTTTTCCTTGCTTTTTGAAGACTTGGATGTATATAGCAATTCCAGTTTTGTTATATACTGGAGAGAGGGCTTTTAGAGCAATTCGATCTTGTTTGTACCAGGTGAAAGTCTTGAAGGTACTCCTACTTTACTTTCCTTTTGCTTTCAAATTTAGAGGAGATGAGAGCAACGACCTCAAATATGAGTATTTGACAACAGTTGTATGTTTATCATGTATTATATGCAGGCAAGGACTTAATTCAGGAAAAGTTTTATTTCTCCAATTGAGCAAACCAGAGAGATTCAAGTATGTATTAATTCAATGCCCTCAAATCTCCCCATTTGAATCGTAATACGTCCTAATGAGTTTCAGTCCTCTAAGTTCTAACAGCTATTCTCATTAATTCTTCACCACAAGAAACGCACCTCAGCGTGCATATCAGAAATCTGGGAGATTGGAGTAATGAGCTGTACAGCCTGTTTCACAAGGTAATTGTTGAAGGTGATTGGTGGGAGGGTTAAAATTTTACATTTATCTTAAAGCACCATCTTTCTTGCGCTATGGTTTAGTTCGTTAGATAATAAGTAAATAAAGTGTGATTTTTCATGAGAAAGATTATGAAGGAAAGAAGAGAGAGCTGATGTAAGTACTAGAAACATTCTCTTGGACTAGGTTGAGCATTATAAATTACTGCATAGAGGTTAAAAGGAGTCATGATCAGGCCCAATCTCAATTATACAATATGATTTATAGGGAATATCTCTTGGTTCAAAGGAGTACCCAAAAATATTCATTGATGGACCCTACGGTGCTGCTTCTCAAGACCTTGTCAAGTACAACCATGTGGTGCTAATTGGCCTGGGTATTGGAGCCACACCCTTCATGAGCGTCCTAAAAGATGCTCTAAACAGGTTAACTGAGACATGTGATGGTCATGCAAGACTTCTTCCCCCTATGATTTGATTTCTTCAATATCCTTCCACAACTTACCACCAACAAAGTTTGACTGTGGTTTAAAACTGAGTAGACTGACAAAGGAAGAGGCAGCCTAAGTACATCCAAAATTTATCTTTACTGGGCAAGAGAGCAAAGCTCCTTTGATTGGTTTAAAGATTTCATGAACGATTTAATACTTTCAGACCAAACTCAGGTAAAAGCCATATTACTAAATACTCTAGTCCTGCAAAATATGTTTTGAGATCTGCTGATTTGCTTTTTGTATATTTAAAGCATTCTAATGTCATGATGCTCTTAGTCAGCTGTAGAGATGCACAATTTCCTCACTAGTATATATCATGAAGGGGATGTAAGGTCTGTTCTAATAAGAGCAATTCAAGCCCTGCATTATACTCGAAGGGGCATGGACATTGTCTCCAAAACTCCTGTAAGTTTCCATTTACACTGCCTGAATCTAAGATAAAGTTATACCAATGGCTAGCTTACATTGTCTAAGAATTGAAAAAGGAATATCTGATTCCCATCATTTCCTGTTCTAAAATAAACAAACTTGGATCGCATAACTCACACATTCGATCTAGATGAAGAACAAAAGAGAAGTAAATGGAGAAATATACAAAGAGACACCAGAATGTAAAACTCTACGGTGGCTAGGTGGCTAGGATTTATTTATAGATGACTTCAAATAGTTACGGATAAGATAATAGAGAAGGTGGTTTGATTCTGAACAAGGGTTTTCTACGGTGGTCCTTCGGCATTGGCAAGAGAACTGAAGGAGCTATGCACCAAGTTCTCCACCAAAACCTCAACTAGATTTGTATTCCATAAGGAGAATTACTAGATTAACGTTGTTTTTCGAGTACAACAGCCAAATAAATAGGTATATGTACTACTTCACTCCAGCCAGAAATAATTCACAATAAATTGGTATATGCATGTGTTTTATTTCAATTGTAAATTGAAATAATTTAAAATTGCACCGCTTCCGCAGGTGGAAATGGCGGAACAGCCAAATAATAAATTATATCATTACGGTGTACTACTTCACTCCAGCCTCATCGCTATTAGTATCTAAAGAGGCTTAAGCGACGTTATCTCATATGCACTGATATATCAGTAAGTTCAAACAAATTTCAAGACATGGAATAAACTGAAAACAAAAAGAAACCAACTAGAAGTTCGATGAATGGTAAATTACTAAGCTCGGGCAGAAGAAACGTACCGAAGGCACCATCCAGACAATACGCTTGAATGTGCATCTCGTAATCATCAACCCAACGCTGCTCAGACAATCGCTTCTGACATATACCATAATACAACAAGAAGCATCACTAACCGGAAATAAAATAAAACAAGTAGAAGCGTGTTCAACTCTGGAGTTCATTTATGCAAATAATAGTTAAGAATCAGACCGATCCAATTAATCAACAATATAATCAGCTAAAACGGCCGGATGATTCTCCGTCCAATACGAAATCGCTCAATCGCTATTTAGGAAGACGATGAATAAGCTATAAGTTTCATGGAAAATTGAGAAGTTTAATTCATGCGATGGAGACATAGGATGCTACCTGTTACTGCGAGACGCACGAACATTCAGCCGAAGAACAGCTCAAGCAATTCAAATGCAGCAGCGGTGTAATGGCGTAGAGTGGAGAGCAGATAACTGACGGCCACCCGCCGAAGCGCGCGATTTTTCTATTGTGAAATGTCCCGCCATAAATAAAATGGGTAAAAGGTTCGTAAATAGAATTATTTTATTTTTTCTTTTTAATTTAATTTCAACCTTTTTATTTTAATCTTAAATACAATTAAAACCTCCTTTTATCAATCGAACTTTTCACTGTATACTAGGGTAAAAAGTTCGTAACTGAAATTTTATCTGAGCCCTAATTTTTTCCTGTTCAGAAACTCAATACTGAAACAAATGGCCACCATCTCCGCCGGAAAACTTTGAGCACCTCAAGCTCGCCCTCCGCATTTCGAATGGCGGCTCATTCCTCAACTTCCAGTAATAACCGAGCTTTGAGAACCGCAAATTCTAATCAGTTTTTTGGTGAGCTTTTTTGGATCTTACTTCTTCTAGCTGGAAATCGTTTGCTCAATGCGTTCCAGGTTTAATCGTTTACATTAATTACTATATTGAATTTACCAGTAGAGTATCAGTGGTAGTTTCGTGTGAAATGTAGGAAATGAGAATCAAACATGCTCGGATTTCTGAAAATTGGAATCTTACGGAAAAATCTACTGTGCCACACAAAGGAAGGATGGTGTAGAATCTTTCATCATGAAAAACTATTAGTAAAATAACAGAGATTTATGAATCGAGCGTTTGCTTCCCGAGTGCTTCATAGGTTTCGTGTATTGTTTGAAGCAGCAGAGAAGAAATTTAAATAGCTGCATAATCTTAGTGAATAATCAGCTTCTTAGTCTTGTAGCACAAGTAGTGAATTGCTATTAAATTTAAATGTATAGAGATGCTTTCTTACGAACATGCTATCTCTTCCTGCAGAATGGAGGGAGTTTGTATGGGGAGCTATAGCTGGAGCATTTGGAGAAGGAATAATGCACCCTATTGATACCATCAAGACTCGGATTCAAAGCCAGGCCATTCTATATGGAAGTCAAGTATGACGTATATGAGAGCTCATGAATTGTGTCTGTTGATGAAAATACCTTAATCTTATCTTCAGGATATCAGCTTGGTGAAAAATTAAAATTTCTTTCAACCACCATGTTTTTTGTCATAGGAAACTATCAATAAATTCAATCTTAATATTAAGGGTTTGCTGCGGCATTTAATCAATATAGATCCAGTCCCCCCTCTCCCTCCATTCCCCTGAAGACTGTCTATTTGGCAATTCCTAGCTCTAAAATTTGTTCACTGTTCATCAAATTTCTTTCAGAATCAAAAGAGCCTGTTGCATATGGTCCAATCAGTATGGAAAATTGACGGATTAAAGGGTAACCTTTTTTTTTTTTTTCACTATTGGCTAAAATTTTTGTCTCTTTACGTTCTCGTGTTATCGTAATAAGTTCAAATCTCTGTCACGTATTTGACTGTGCTGTATTATTTGGTTTTTATCCTCATCTAATAGCTGTTTAGGCTTTTATAGGGGCATAGCTCCCGGAGTTACTGGTTCACTTGCCACTGGAGCTACATATTTTGGTGTTATTGAATCCAGTAAGAAATGGATTGAAGAAAGACATCCTAACCTTGACGGTCACTGGGTTCATTTCATTGCTGGAGCAGTTGGTAAGCAATCCTGGGTGTTCCAAAAATCTCACTTTTGAGCCATGCCGCATCATGATCATTACTATACCCCTTTTGACAAAGTTCTGTACTGATGTATTTATCCTTGTTTCATTATTAACTAGTTAACGAGATTCAGTACACTATTTTCTTCACGTCATACATATTTTAGTTCAGCTATTACATTTTCTTGGACTCATAGATCATGTTTTATGCCTGAATGATGTAGTGTTTGCATATGTGAACGAGGGCTTTTCTTTTTCGTTTTGCAAAGACAGTGACCCAAGACATCGATAACTAGTGAACTTTATTTTATTTTTTGACTCAAACCTCCAATACTAACTATTGAAAATCAAAGCCTATGTGTGTGAAGATCACAATAATCTTTTACACGCTTCATGATGTCACTCTTTTCTTCCTTCTTTTTCCATTCAGGTGATACACTGGGTTCATTTGTATATGTTCCATGTGAAGTTATGAAGCAGCGAATGCAAGTTCAAGGCACTAGGTCATCTTGGAATTCTCTTCCCATGAAGAATAATATCTCTATGAATCCTGGTAGGCCAATGTATGGCTATTATTCAGGGATGTTCCAGGCTGGTCGTTCAATCTTGAAGGAACAAGGATTAAGAGGATTATATGCGGGGTCTGAACTCTGAACCAGATTTATTTATCTTTTGGATTTTTATAATTTTTGTAGTAAAACATACTGAAAGTGAAATATAATTCCTGCATGATTGTGACCCTCTCCCATGTATTGTTCCAGATATTGGTCTACACTTGCCAGGGATGTGCCGTTTGCTGGTCTAATGGTATATAAAATTCTGAATCTGTGTACCTTGTTTGAGTGTCTGACTCTTTCCCCGGATCGTTTTCGTCTGTATTGATTTTTCAGTTATGTATCTGCAGATATTATTGTCATGTTAGATCCCAAGTATAATTCTTAGTTGCTTATTGATAAATCTAGAAAAAAGATCTCATGAGCGCACACACACAATTCTGTATTTTTTATATTTTTTATATATGTATCAATTAAATGCATTAGTTAACACACTGCAGGTCATGTTTTATGAGGCGCTGAAGGATTTCACCGAGTTTGGGAAGCGAAGATGGATGCCTACTTCAGATGTTAATAGCTCCTTGGAAGGACTTGTGTTAGGGGGATTAGCTGGTGGTATGCATTTTGATAGCCCTTCATCATTACTAATTAAGTTATGTAGCTTTTAATTTTTCCTTTCCCTTAAACGTTCAATTTTATGATCGCATAATATATGGTTCTGAAATTGTTAGGTATGAGTGCTTATCTGACCACTCCCCTGGATGTGATAAAAACAAGAATACAAGTTCAGGGAACAACTTTAAGGTATCAGATGAGACTCAACCTGCTTGAATATGTTTTTTGTAGTGCAATTTCACTCTTTTATGACCAATGTTATCGACTTGGTAAACCTCGATTCAAGATGGTGATTATATGCAGTACTTTCTCTAAAATCTTAGGTATAATGGCTGGTTCGATGCGGTGAGAACTATCTGGCGGAGCGAGGGAACGAAGGGAATGTTTAGGGGTAGCATACCCAGAATCACATGGTATATTCCAGCTTCTGCTCTAACTTTTATGGCTGTGGAATTTCTGAGAGACCATTTCAATGAAAGATTGGATGTTAAATACAAAAACGAAGCTGCTACTTTATCAGTTGATAGAAGAGGAACATTACGAGAAGCAGCATTACCTGCTCGAGACTGAATTGAGTTTCGGTACATCATCGACTCTTGTCGAATTTTGCAGATAAACATTATATGTTTTCAGTACCAATCAATCAAGAGGATCATTAATCCATGACTTGGGGAGTGGTCTATGTTTATTATGTGAGAGACCCACAACCAAGACATCAAAAGCAAAAGAAATGAGTAGATAGACAATAATGTTAGTTATCCATCCTTGAGGTCCATGTTCCTTCATGTAATCTCAATTCTTTGGTTAGCTACACCCCACAGGTATTTTCTATACTTGGCTTTGGTTTTAATAAACAGGTATTAACTCCAATAGAGAAAAAAAAAAAAAAAAGGAGAAATAGTACACATTTGAGTGCTCTTTATGACCATGGAAGGTGTTACATGCTTTGAATCTTTAATTTAGGTATCCAACACATGAACTCTTGACTTTGGATATGATTCAAATTGTATAAAAGGGAATGTGAATCTTATTTTAATTCCATATTTTTGTTTTTAAGCTTTCAAAATGTTTAGAGGCTGAAATGTTTATTTTAGCCTCTAAAGTTTCAAATTTGTTCGGTTCTTAAATTTTGTAAACATCTATTTTGGTCCTTGAACTTCTTAAGAATTACTACTTTGGTCTTTACTTGTAACGGCTCGAGTCCAGTCCATCGTTAGTAGATATTGTCTTCTTTGGACTTTTTCGTTTTAGACTTTCCCTTAATGTTTTTAAAATATGCTAATAAAAGGTTAACGTTCACCCCAAAACTTTTAAGGCATCGATTAAAAATTCAAATTCAAATTGATAATTATATTAATTCTTTTTTTTTTTTTCGAAGTGAATTAATGTAAACTGCGATAATTAAATACATAGTAATAATAAAATTATTAAATTTGTGTGATTTTTCCTGAATGCAATAAATAATGATGGGAAAGATAATGTTTGTGGTGCATTAGTTTAATTATAATTTAAAAATAAAATAATAAAAGGACCTTCCGCGTATTGCAAAATATTTCTCAATTTGATACTTGATAGTGAAGGCTTCAACTTTCTGTATAAATATTGAATTCGATTTCGTCAGCTGAGCCAAAATCCCATAGCAGTAGAAGGAAGGAGAAGAATCCCTGATTGTGAGCCTGCCATGGCGTCCGGCAAGCGATGCCATTACGAGGTCCTCGGCCTCCACATCGACTGCACCGCCGACGAGATTCGATCGGCGTACCGGAAGCTAGCCCTCCAACGCCACCCCGATAAGCTCGTCCAGTCCGGTTTGTCACAATCTGATGCCACCGCTCAGTTTCAAGAGCTTCAGCACGCGTACGAGGTCCTCTCCGATCCTAAAGAACGCGCCTGGTACGACTCTCATCGTTCCCAAATCCTCTTTTCTGATGCCGGATCGGTTAATTCCAACTCTGTTGTTCCGAATCTATTTCCATTCTTCTCCAATACCGTTTATTCTGGCTATTCGGATTCTGGACGAGGGTTCTATAAGATTTATTCCGACATTTTTGACAAAATTTACGGGAATGAGATTAACTTCGCTAAGAAATTAGGATTGCGCTTGGATACCGTTCGCAATGCTCCGGTCATGGGGAATTTGGATGCTCCGTACACGCAGGTGACTGCGTTTTATAATTACTGGCTTGGATTTTGCACGGTTATGGATTTTTGCTGGGTTGATCAGTACGATGTCATGGCCGGTCCGAACCGGAAATCAAGGAGGCTAATGGAGGAGGATAACAAGAAGCTGAGGAAGAAGGCAAAGAGGGAGTACAATGAGACAGTAAGAGGTTTGGCCGAGTTTGTGAAGAAGAGGGATAAGAGAGTGACTGATATGGCTATGAAAAGGAACATAGAAATGGAGAAGAAGAAGGAAGAGGTGAGGGAAAGGAAAAAGAAGCTAGAGAGGGAGAAGATGGAGAAGCTTAAGGCATTCGAAGAACCGGATTGGGCAAAAGTTGAGGAAATTGAGGAGGATCCGGAAGATGAATCTGAGGAAGAGAAGAGAGCGAAAGAGCTGTACTGTGTTTTGTGTGGGAAAAAGTTCAAGAGTGAAAAGCAGTGGAAGAATCACGAACAGTCAAAAAAACACAAGGAGAAGGTTGCAGAGTTCAAGGAATCCCTTGACGACGAGGAAGAATCTGAAGAATTTGTTGATGAAGAACAAGATGAAAAAGAACCGACACTGCAGGATGATGGGATAGATAAACTAGGGGAGCAGTTCAAGGAAAGTTTTGACATTGAAGCAGAAGAAGCTGAAAGCGGGGAAGAACTTAGTGGGAGTGAATATTATGATGTTCGTGATGTTGATCAATCAGATATCGTTGCTGAGGAACTTGGATCCAATGATGACGACGACGAAACAGATATTCTTGAAGCAATGGCAGCTGGGCTGCGGAATAGGAAAAATGCAGCTTCATTGAATCAGCCTAAAGCTTCCTCAGATAAAGCTCATTTTGAAAATGAGAACGATGAGCCTAATCCATCGGAGTTCGAAAATGTTAGGAGGGGAGGAAACAATCGTCGAGCCAAAAAGAAGGGCAAGGGAAATGATGAAACTAGGAATGAAACCGAACCCAATTCTCAAAATGACAAAAACTACGGAGACAATACATCATATCAGCAGGATTCCCCTTCCAATTCGTTGGCTAAAGAACAAAGGAATTCAACTCAACCAGCTGATCGGAAAGCAGTCGCACAGAAGGACACAAAGACCAACACTAGGCACGCATCTAAAGGGAAGAAATCCAAGGTAATTGACATTCTGCAGAACTGAGTTCTAATTTCACCATTTATTTTAGCCATACTATCTGAGCTTATCCATATTGGCTGAATGTGAAAGATATCATGTATTCTTAAATTAAGGAAGTTGAACATCAGCTTGTTAAGCATCCATATTAGATTAATGTTCTACTTCCCTCTTGTTAGACTAATGATTATAGTGATTTCTGCTCACAAATTCTGATGATGTAAAATCTTAAACTTAGGCAACATCTAAGGATTCTGGCACTTCATGCGAAACATGTGGGGAGCAGTTTGAATCAAGGTAATCCTTGTTTAGAACTTCTAGTCTATCTTTCACCATCATATATCCTTTCATACCTTATAATAACACTAAGTTTTAGATTGACTGCACCAAATTGAAGAGGGTTTTTGATATATCATGACAGGAATAAACTGCATAAGCATTTGGGAGCCACAGGGCATGCTGCGTTAAAATATCGATGACAGAAGTTCGCATCAACATCCATTTTTGACAGTTCACAGGATTTTCAATCAAGTTCCATACCACATTCAATGAGAGTTTCAATTTTTAGCGACGACACAAATTGCAGAGCGACAGCACGACTTGTATGATGTGATTCCATGGCCGACCAAAGTACCTAATGAGAAGTAAGGAATATAATAGTATATACATATTCGTTGTCTATCCAGAAAGATGTTTGGAAACGATGTGATTCTTTACATTTCATCGTTCTACTGTAAACTGCAAGAATCCAATGGTTTAAACCTTGAGCTTTATTTAATAAAATCTAATACGATTCGAGTTGCTCTTACAAGCATAGGCCCCGTGTGGGAGGTCGACATAGTACCAGAAGAGACTAGCTATATATGTGATATAGAGAATTTAATTTATGAATATTTTGAATTGGTCAAAGCTTTATGCAGCTTCTTGATGTGCTTTTACCAAAAGTTTTCTGTCTGTTTTGTTTTACCAAGAAGGTTAACGGTTCGAGTCATTTTCCAGCCTCAAACAATCTGGGGTCTCTTTCCGATCTTGTACTGACACTGAATACCGACCCAATCTTGAAATATTTCTTAACCTTCACTATGATTTTAGTGGTAAAACTTAGCCTTGTTCGGCCTTGTTTTTCACTTGTTCAATACCGGTCTGCTAAACCAACCGTCGGTATAAAATTGTTTCATCTCTGCAGAGAGTCTTATTACTACACGCAAAGATGACACTATGTGTATATACATAAGGTAAAACTAAAAACAACCCAGAAAAGACAATCCATGCACCAATTTAATTACCACAAAGTAACAAACTACAGAATAAAGAGCATGTCAGAGTGAGTTCATCAACTAATGGTCTCTCCTAATTTCATAAATAAAGAACAGGAAGGTTGCAAACGAGGGGATTGCGCTTACAGTGGCTTAGTTACGGCCTTCTGAATGTAAACCAAAGCTTCCTCTTTCGAAAGTGGTCCTTCTGCAAGGCCTTTAACAAGGGTATCAACGTACCCTTTGGCTGGTGCACAGAGAGGAACCTTTCCAGATTTGAAGTCTTCCATATCCAAATGCGAACATCTGAAATCAAATGGAAGTACATAATATTACTACTAAATGGTTGTTCTTACATGACTTAAATTGCACACAACGATAACGAGATTCGAGGCGTACGTCATAGTTACTATCGGAAGTTCCTGTTCTTTCCCCAAGTATACAAGGTTGTGGTACCATCCTTGCTGCAAAATAATTCAAGCATTGTTTAAGAAACGATCAAGAAACGAATTTGCTTTCATAGGAGAGAGGCTAGATAGTTTACATACCCCAGTTGAAATCTCAATAGATGTGGAAGCGTTGCCTGTGAGTTTGTTCAAATTAGCTATATCCAATAAAGGGTTATCAGAAAGGAAGCCACTCCCACTGTTTTCTTGATACAAAACATCGTTGAATTGCTCTAGCCTGTAAAGAGAAGATCCAGAACAAGAATTAAAAGATAAATTTAAGATTTTGTGCTAGAAAACATGAGTTCGAGGGGATCGGAGGATCCCGTAGTTGAAAACATTAGGAGAACAAGAAGCTAATGATATTAACTCACGTTATTCTATACAAGCACAAGAAAGATTTCTCATCACTGTTGCTTTCAGGATGAAGAAAAGCAGCTCCTCCTTGGCCCCATGTATTGGTATATTCATGGCCGAAAAATAGACGGCGAGGAAAAGTTTTCCACAGCATCCCTTTTGGTGGTGTCTTATCCATTGAACCCGTACACGGTTTTTTCATACCCTCAACCTAAAAGTTTCTCTTCCAATGTTAGACGAGAAACGAGTAAATTTAAACAAGAAAAAGAGGGAAAACAAGGAGTGACTCTTCACAGAACCGGATACACATTCTCAAAATGTGAGATCTCACATCGGTTGGGGAGGAGAACGAAACACCCTTTATAAGTAGCAGACACGTTTTAAAGCCTTGAGGGGAAGCCTGAAAGGGAAAGCCCAAAAAGGACAATATCTGCTAGCGGTGGGCTTGGACCGTTACACACAATGTTAATAATGTTCCATATAGAGATAACTGACATATATGGGCACTTTCACTCTCTAGAACATATCAAGTTCATATTTGGTAGCAAAACACGAACTCGGTTTTTCACTTCTCCTGATAATACTTTCACTCCTAAGTTCGTTTTTTCAAGATAAAGGCAAGGCATAATACAGACCGTTCACCAAGCAAAAGCTTGAAAGTGATGACTGACATGATTTTACGACGATCATACGTTGTAGTTATCCAAGATTATTCAAAGAAAAGTACTGCAGACACAGATGAAGAAGTCGAACCTGTCCTCCTTTGATATAACAGAGGAATCTTGGGCGCCACATATTTGATCCAAATGAAGCATACCAGATATCAGTTTTTGAGAGCTCCAATCTCCAAGGGATAGTAACATTAACCGCTTGACCTGTGTTTTGGTGAAAACCATTGTAATGTTTCTTTGGACATGAATCAAAACTAAATGATATAAAGAACATGGATTTGAAAAGATAATCTCAGTGCTCTTTACCCTGACTGTCTTCCTTAACTTCCACTTGTGAAAGTGTGATACCCTGAAGAATTTCCTCGAGGCTTTTTAATCGAGAATCGGAAGCTTCATCCTCCGAATCAGAGCTTGAAAGCAATACCTCCTGGAAAAGTTAAAGAAAAAATTTAGCAGGATTATCACGTGGAGTAACGCATCGACATACTAACCCCTTCCTTTAATATACATACATACACATGTATAGATAGCAATTCATAACAGATCCCAACAAATATGTATAGACAATAGTAAAAGGCTAGGATACAAGGGATTACCGGGACTGGCACTTTTTTACTGGTTAAATTATCTGGTAGTTCTTCCGAAAGCATTGGCCAAAAAGGACTCAATTCTCGGCGAACCTGGCGAGAATCACGAGGTTTTTATAGACAAGATGTTAATTGTATTGCTAATAGTACTTGTGAAACAGAAACAATGGAAGAGTGAGCTTACTGCTTGGATCACTCGCCATGTTGACTCAAATGGACAAGTCTCTGAAGAATTGTTCATAGTTCTTCCATCAACCAGAAGTTCCGCACAGGCAAGCATTGAAGTTGCTATAGAATCAAGATTATATCCCCCTTCCAATGCCAATACAATCTTTCCTTGACCAAGATTCATCAACTGGAGAAGTGGGTAACAGTGCTACCATCAAAGGTTCATGTATTTGTTCTTATAGAAAACATTAAAACTAGTCCTTAAGTTTTGGTACTAATTGTATGTCAGAAATGCAACAACATTCAACAAACAAACTACCCTTGTGATGATTTAAAACAAATCCAAAATAGGAAAGAACTGAACACTTGCCTTTTTCAACATAATTGAGTATCCATACGGTGTGACACAGCAACCACCTAGAGGATCTCCAACAGCTGTTCCGAACATGAAATAATTTTTTATACGTGTCTTCGTTTAATAAGTACCTCTTCCATCATGACACAATAATCGTCGATAAAAGTAAAACTGAGATCAAATCTTTCAAGAAATATGTCCTAAATATAAAAAGAATTTTATCATCTCAGGGTTAGTGGCATCAGACCTGCATCAAATCCGGCAGAGACTATGATCATGTCAGGACTATATTCCTTAGCAACCGGAAGCAAGACATGGTCCCAAACAGCTAGGTAATCAGCATCCCGACATTGTCCATTCTCCCAAGGGACATTTATATTATATCCTGCGCCTGGTCCTTCTCCAACCATGGTATAGTAACCATCATCTGTGGCGGGATAAAAACTTCCGAACTCGTGCCTGTGTTTATAAAATAAGTTGGCACGTTATTTGTGAAAGCGATCATAACTCAGATAGGATATCAAAACCACGCTTCATGACCCAATAGCCAATGTTCCATGTAACCAAAAAAACATAACAAAAATAGTAAAAGGTAAAATGTTTTGACACACTAAAATGGGCACTATTAGGAAATCTGACCATGAAACGAGAGAAAGTTACGAGATTTTGGATGTTGGATGTAACAGCTCAAGTCCACTGCTAGCAGATTTATCCTCTTTGGGTTTTCCCTTTCGGACTTTTCCTCAAGATTTTTAAAACGCGTCTAGCTAGGAAAAGGTTTCCACACCCTTATAAAGAATGTTTTGTTCCCCTCTCCAACCGATGGTGAATGTGCCAAGCTTCAAAATGTAACTTTCTTTGAGAATTTTTTGTAATAACCCTCTTTTAGTTATTAAACCATTGGAGTGTGCTTTTATGTGAACTCGTAGGCGTTTCTGTGAGGGTGCTTTATCCTCCCTTAATACCAGGTCACCCTCTCCCTTCTTGAACTTGGTCTCGCTTCTTTGCTCTATGCCCTCTAAGGTGTACATTTTGTCTAACACGCTTCCTAGAGTTGAGAGAGAGCGTAAAAGGAATATTCAAGAAAACACCAACACCCTCACCCGACCTACCGGTGAACGGAGAAGAACAAAACACGGGGATCCCTCCAGAACATCTTTTGTGTTGCATTGCCATGATGAACATCCCAATCAACAATTAATATCTTCTTAATACCCAAATCTAGCTGCATCATGAAAGACAACGACCAAATGAAGTCAAAACTAACGAAATAGAAAAGGAAAATCGAAATAAATCCGAACTTGTAAGCATTTTCTGGTAGGAACTTCAGAATAACAAAGCACAGGATCATATAATTAGCCATAAACATTAGTTTGAACATAATTGGAATGGGGTCTTACTCGTTCATTCAAAATAAAGCTTGCTGCCACAGCTATATTGTTGAACAAACAGAACCCCATAGCTTCATCATGTTCGGCATGATGACCCGGTGGCCTCACAATGGCAATTCCGGAATCTAAATCTCCTTGAGCTACTCTTTCAGCAACCTTAACAAAATAAAGACATTTCAGTCACTTAGCATACACAGAGGACCAATTTCAACGTGCAACTACGAAAAATTCATGCGTATATTACATCTATGACAGAGCCAGCAGCTAGATAAGCAGCTTCTGATGATCCTTTATTAAAGTATATGGAGTTAAGTTGTGCGGCAATCTTATCTCTTCGTGAATCAAACTCTTTGGAGCTTATATTCTTAATCAAGTCAACATGATTTTTGGAGTGTACTGCCAAAATATGCTTATCTTCTGCTTCTTTCCCATTCAAGACCACACACCTGAAGAGGAAACAAGCCAGTTTAACTATTTATCCAAGAAACAGAATCAAACTATCTCAAACAAAAAATTCTGAAAATTAGAAACAGCCAACATAAGAACGAGTTGCCACTAAGACTACGAAGCAAGAAGGAACTCATAGATTCCAGGAAAGTATCAATTATCACGTGAAGTTACTGTATCAAGAATAATGAAATGAATACACTTCCTTCACTATACATGCATTCGAGGAAGTCAGCAAGAGATTCTTTTCGGATAATCAAGAAACTCTTGGGCCATTACAAATGATATCAGGCCCAAACACCGAAAGATGTGCCAGCAAGGAGGCTAAACCCCTAAAGAGGGTGGACATGAAGTGATGTGTTAGCAAGGACACTGGGCCCAAAAGGGGGTGGATTTGGTGGGGTTTCACATCAATTGGAGAAAGGAATGAGTGCTAACGAGGATGAGATCCCACGTCGATTGGGGAGGAGAACAAAACACCCTTTATATTGAAAACCTTGAGAGGAAGTCCGAAAGGGAAAGCTGAAAAGGACAATATCCATGGGTTTGGGCCGTTACGAATCGTCCTCTTGGGTGAACTATCTCAGGAAACCATAATTTGGCCACGAAAAGACAAATATGATATGGCACAGAGCTCCATTTTAGAAGAATCTAACCCAATTCTCCACTTCTTTTCGATTACCATGGCAACGCTACACACAGCACAAAACAAATACACAACAGGAAAAGTGCTAAATAAAAGAAATAAAAACGATCATGCCTCTGAAGAATGCCGGAGCTCTGTAGCTTGTTCCAAATGGCCCTAATTCGATTGGGATTCTCAGGATGGTAATCTCCGTCGGGCGTGTGATGCTTGCACATCCTCTCGTCGTACAAAACCCCTACCCTCCGCGAATCGCCATTGCCTCCGTCGAATTTCCTAGGTCCAGAGCCATGCACGTCCATTCTCCAAAAAAAGAAAGAAAAATCTAACCAGCAAAGTCCCAAAACTGACGAAAACTTTCCGAAATTGAATTTCGCAGTAGGCTAGCGGCCTTGCCGAAGTGCCGGAGCGCCGTCACTCAGATCGAGATCGACGAATCGCCCGCCGGAGAATACAGAACAGATTGGTCTCACTGCCCAATCAAATCCACTCGCTAGTCAGCTAAGTCAACCAGTAACTACTGTGATCGTGAGTCGGAACAGTTGAAACAAAATCTCCAAAAAAATAGATATTTCGCCTTTTTACCAATAAAAATATATATATATAATACTTTATACATTCAGAAGGTTACAACTCGAACTAACTAGGATGAAAATGGCATTTAAATTATTTTTCAATTTATAAATATCGAGAAAAAATCTAAATTGAATTTAGGGCTATTTTTTGTATTATTTTTTGTATTTATAAGAAATTAATAATGGTTTATTGTTATTAGGCTAAATTTAAATTAAAATATATATATATTATAGATTTTTTAAAAAATTATTAGAACGTAATATTAAAATTTTATTTTTAGACATCATATTCATATAACATTTGCTACACATATTATATTTATTTATTTATTTATTGGTTTATTAGAGCTTTTTACAATATTTTCACCTAGTAAGAATATAAAACTTTAGAATAACTACTTTTTAATAAATACTAAATAAAAAAGAATGAGAACTCGATACCTCAAAATAAATCACTGTTGTATGAGTACAAAGAATATTATTTTTAAGTCCATTCGATCCCTCCAATTTATTCCTAATTCAACCCTAAATTTAAAATGTTGAACTTCATTCTTTTATTTACCATTAAAGATCTATTAAAATAACGATATTGTGTAGAAGACGATCGAAATAGCTTGATTGATAGAACACTTTTATTCTATTATTTACAATTGAAGATCTATTACGATCACGATAGCTTGATTGATAGAACACTTATATTTTGTTATTTATCGTTGAAGATCTATTAAAATAAGAATAATGTATAAAATATGAACGGGATTTCTCGATTGATAGAACACCGATTTAATCCATACATCGCAAATTTTATATACTTATTAATTAAAAAATATATATATATTTTTCAATCATTCTAACCAGTTTTGGCATTTATCATTTACTATAACAAAAAAAATCAAATAGAAAATATTAAAATGACATCATAATTAATCAGTTCCCATCATTCATCAATTAGAAAATATTTAACCCTTCACTCAAATAATTCCACATTAAATTATTCAATTTTGAATTAAAAAAGAAAAAAAAAAAGAAAAAAAAGAAAAAACATTTGATGAACATGGTAAGTAGATCTGGTAAAGTTAAAAAGAAATGTTCTGTGGGTCCCACTAGAGTATGAAGAAAAGTCCATCCAAAACAAGCAATGTGGAGGCCAACTTTTTCCCATTTTGTTTTTGGCATCAAGTGGTGAGGGAGAGACTTAAGTGGACGAAAGAACAAATTTAAAAAAACAAAGCTGTCTAAGACCAGAACCAGTAGTACAGCAAGAACAGGAACATCACATGCTACCCACCCTGCATTCCTCTCACAACGATTCCAATAAATAAAAGAAACTGCATCAAGCCATATGCCCACAGAACAAGAGAGTGAACAAATAAGCTACTGCATTGGCAATTAGAGTGAGTTTGAGTCTTGATCCACTGTCACTGTAGTCGGAGTTCATCCCGCCGACGCCTGATGGTCCTAAACTGTTGCTTCCACTGCTGTAGCCATTCCCTCCGATGACGCCGGTGGGGGTTGTAGAACCAAATGGAGTATTGGTTGTGGGAGTTGATCCAGTGCCCGGGCTGGTGGTGGTTGGTGTTCCAGTTACTGGAACAGTGCCACTGTTTACGGGGCTGCAACAGCAGATTACCAAAAATAAGATGAATCCCATTTTAGATAAAGATATTACAACAGCAGATAACACATTGGTTTTTAGTTTACTCACGATCTGTTGAATTCTATGCCAAATTTCAGAAACATAATGTTAATCAGTTCTGAAAGGTTTGGATTCATTAATGTAGTAATGGTCAGCTTTTCGTTTTCCAATCCATAATGAAGATGAAGAAAAGTTGTCATCATTTGTTAAGGATCTAGAGATAATCTCATCAAGTGACCAGTTTTCGACTAGAGCATTTCAAATTAGATTCAAGAGAGAAGACAAAGTGTTCCTCCCCCAAGAAAATGAACTGCTTCTTCACCCACATGTGAAACCCTTTTTCCAAAAATCATGGTCTGCCCAGGCTTGGCTTTCGAGGCATTAAAATGTGGCTCAAATCTCAATAATTTACTCATCTCGAGGAGCAACATAAATCTGATCATCACTATGAAAAAACTCCATTTTCATCCGAGCATTTACTTTCGGATAAATGTATTTACCAGTGTGGAGTAATTATATGTGACGGTGACAATTATCACATCTTGAGTGAAAGTGAAAAGTTGAAAAACGCAGGCAGGGAAGAAGCCAGAAAAAATGATCATGAAATTACAAATAGTCAATTGACGAAAAGAGTATCTATAATTACGGCACAATGGGATGATGGCGAATCTAATTGCAAAACTCTATTTTCCAATAGTATCTATCTATGACTATCGGAAGCCAACTTTATTTTTTGTTAAGTTTCTGACTAACAAGATGCTCTAATCCTGTTAAAGTAAAAAGGCTCAAAGTTCTATTCAAATGAAAATAAAACACAAAATGAAGTAAAAATACTCTTAATATTATGCTCACGTACAAGATTAAAGTGGATAAGAAATCCAAGTGAAACTCACAAAAAAATCATGCTGTTATTTCATTTCAAAGAGATGGAGTTCACTAAATAAGAAAATAAGAATGAGATTTTGAGTCTAGCCATGGATTTGGGAGAAAGCAGAGAAAATCTTATTCTAATAAAGCGATTGCCAGATATTGAAATGGGAAGAAATTATTACTATTCCTACCATTCTTTTTTTTTTTTCTTTTTTTCAAATAAACATGGTGGAAGTAGGTGCAGAAGTATACCTGGCGCTAGAAGGATAAACGCAGCCTGTAATGCCTGAGAAAACACCAAGAAATTTATAAATAAAAAAATAAAAAGAATCAGATTCCATTTCTGAACATGATAAGAAATATGAAAACAAAACATATTAATTTAGAAGCTGAAATAGATGGCCAAGGAACTTCGATAGATTGCCAAAAATGTTCAAATTTGTGGCATATACTAGAATCCGAGTAAGTTCTGTGAGGTGTTTGTTTCCATTTTTTCCTTTCTTAAAAGTTAATCAGATCATAACTGACTGAACCTTCTCTTATTTAGAAGGAACTAGAGAAAAACATGTGGTTGTAGACAGCGAAATCTTACTGGGGTCAGTAGTGGTGACCATGGCTGTGCCAGAAAAATCACAGGAACCAGGAGCTTGACCCTTCCTCTGAAAGTAGCTGTTAGCAGCATAGGAACAATGGGCCTTGACCGTGTCGGGAGCGAAACAGCCCCCCTTTTGATGAATAGGGAGACAGTCAGCCCCAGCTCCACAAGCATAGTCAATTGTCTTCTGGAGAGCAGTATCACCTATTCCGTCCTTGCAAACGCACCATGTTGCACCTACAAGTTCCAGAAGCCACCATTTCAAGAGAGAGCAGAAGGAACAAAGAACTTACGAAGAAACAGAAGAAAATAAACGAAACACAACGAGATCTACACATCTATAAGAAACTTCAAAAGTACTGGAAACTCACTCCCAGAACTTTTAAGCCCCTTATCCATCCAAAAAGAACCACAAATTTCAAACTAAAAAAGAAAGCTCTCTTTTAAACAAAAGAACAATGACTACATAAAGATGACCATAACTAGAAGATCTATAGACACATATCTGTAGAGATGGTTAATGCACATTTGAATAGCCTTTAAAGATGGCTGACAAGCAAAAGGCTCGAATCAGCGAAAAGATTATTGAGAAGTCAAACTAAAAGGAGTAAAAGAAAACCCAGTATAGAAACGCAAGGAGCTTACTTGAATGGCCAGTCATGGCCAGAATAAGAAGCCCAATAGCTAAAACAGGCATAACCCAAGACATGATTACAAAGCTCAGAGATAGTGGCCAGAAGAAGGCTCTCACGGCCACACACACAAGCAGAAAGAGAGAAGTGTAGAGAAAAGGAGAGAGTCTGTGAGAGTGGAAATGTAAAGTATCCTGAAGGGGAAGGGGTCTGTTCGATACAAAATAAAGGCAGTGGCTTTTCAGAGGGTAATGTAAACGATGGCATCTATGAGAGTGGCCCACTTTCGTATTTTCTAGCTAGTGCACTTTCTGCGCCTTGTTAACAACTAGTAGGCTCGTGACAAACCAACAACTTCAATTTCTCGACTCAGAGAAGCTCAGAACATGTTAAAATAAACAAAGGTTCAACCAAATAGAGCTGTTTCATCACAGTTGCTAAAAGGGGGAAAAATGGAATTGGCAAGCTATTCAAGTGCAATTTGAAACTCAAGTTCTTTAGTCGAATTCAAATCGAACTTCGATTCACCTAATTGCTTTATTCAGAACCACTTCCAAACACTCCGATTCTGTAGTCAAGTTCTTAAGTGCAATTTGAAACTCACGTTCTTTACTCGAATTCAAATCGAACTTCAATTCACCTAATTGCTTTAGTCAGAACCATTCCAAACACACCGATTTCGTGGGTAAAATTATCCACAAATCCATTCCCCTCTTTCACCGAAAGGAAATAACGATTAATTACACAAACACGAAACAAAAAGGAATCAGAATAAAAATCAATCAATATTCCCAATGCTGGCGCTAACCGATTGAAATGATTATTTTAATGTACAAAACACAATTTACAATAATATAATCCAGAGCCAAATCTTCGTGAGAGAATTTCTCGAACAATACAGCTTACCTTTTCTTGAGAAACGGGGGGATTTCTCTTGCTTCTTCTCAACGGCTTAAGTGAAACATGAACTAATGCGCCTAGAAAAACACCAAAAGAAGTCACCGAGGACTTGATCGGCGGCCTTGAACGCTTGGATGAGTTCTCTTTGAGGAAGCTGCCAGAGGCGACATTATTAAATTTCACTGGTACCGCCAAACTCGGGAGATGAAAGGCGCCGGCGGGAAGCCTGTAATCGGAGAAGGGAGAAGAGAGTATATTATAATATTAAATTTTGAGTTTTCTGAAATTATATTAAATATTATATTATAAATTTATTTATTAGAGTATTTTATTTTATTTTTGGTAAAAAAAATATATAAAAAATTATTTGAAAGGAATATTTTTATAAAAAATGGTAAAAAGAATCTAAAGAGGGCTCGGCCCAATATAATCAACCAGAAGGATCCAGTAGTACACAATAATTGGGCCGATAGGCCCAATAAGATTGGGCCCACTTTGGCAAATGCACGTAGCTAATTAGGGTCTAATAAATTAATATATATATATTTTTGAGTACGTAGTTATTTCAATGATGTTCATTAAGCACTACTGTGTTCTCAAACGGGTCAAATAGCGACCCGATCCGCAATACTGTATCTGCACCGTTGATTTTTCTAGTAGACATCTCAACCGTTCAGTCGTTCCCTTTATATACCTATCCTCCCCGCCAACAATTCTTAGGGTTCTCTAGGGTTTTTGGTTTCCCATACTCGGTTGGAAGTGCCCTTACTCATATTCTTCTTGCGTTTCTACAGGTTTTAGTCTTCATAAATCTGAATCTGAACGTTTAATTTGCTTTTACCGTGGATTCAACTACGATTGTTTTTTTTTTTTTTTTTTTTTTTTTTTTTTTTTTTTTTTTTTTTTTTT